TTTTTTGATTGTTTAATTGATTTGTAAAAGATGATTTGTAAAAGTTGATTTGTGTAATTGATGCGAACATAATTCTTATTTGTGCTTGTTTAATTGATTGAAATGTAATGGTTGATTTTGTTGATTTCAATCTGCATTATGTTGAAGGCAAAAATGACTATCGCAATGCGAAATGAAAATCGCAATGCGAAATGAAAATCGCAACGAGAGAATCGCAATGCGAAATGAAAATCGCAATGCGGAAATGAAAATCGCAATGCGTTTATAATTTCGCATTGCGATTATCTCGTTGCGATTTTCATTTCGCATTGCGATTTTCATTTCGCATTGCGATTCTTTCGTTGCGATTTCATTTCGCATTGCGATTTTCATTTCGCATTGCGATTTTCATTTCGCATTGCGATTTTAATTTCGCATTGCGATTCTGTCGTTGCGATTTTCATTTCGCATTGCGATTTTCATTTCGCATTGCGATTCTCTCGTTGCGATTTTCATTTCGCATTGCGATTTTCATTTCGCATTGCGATTCTCTCGTTGCGATTTTCATTTCCGCATTGCGATTTTCATGTTGGGATTTTCATTTCGCGTTGCGATTGTATTTTCCGTGTTGCGATAGTCAAATGCATGCCTAATAGTGATAACAACTGAATAACAAGAGTTGGTTAAGTCAAAATGGTTGGCCTGAGTCATTAATTCAACTGAAAATGTTAAAAGTTCACACATAAAATCCACATAATACAACGTTTGCATTTAAAAATCACCTAAGTTAACAGTCTCAAAAGGTGAAGCCAATCGTGATTGGGATTTTAAAGATGATTGCCTTTTGCTTGACACCATATGAGCTTTGGATTTTGATGAGGATCCATATTTTGGTAGAGGAAAAGATGATTTTGATGGCACTGGTGATCCACATGTCAACCTTGTATGACCACTTTCCTTGCACCGACTACATGTCGATCTCTTCTTCTCTTCACCCTTAGACGGTATACGATCGTGACTTTTGGTCGGCCAGGTAGCCTTCTGTCCATGGCTGGTGGCAAAACTGTTTGTAAGTCATCTGGTATGTCCCACTCAGAAGGATGTGGAATAGGGTAGACAATCTCGGCATAAGTCTGTCGATAAACTTATGTAGTGTAGCAATCCATAGCGTATGCGCTTGAATCATCTTGGTTTAAATGAAGAGCAACTTTTATAACATGGCCACACGGATAACCAGATGTTTGCCATTTCATACAACTACACGTCTTTGCATTTAGATCGACTAGCCCATTTAAGTTATTATCCAGTACTTGAAACAAAGTGTTTGAACATGGTTCAACTCTCCATGACGTTGACTTCACAACACGTTTCGTTATCTTTTTTCAGTCCATGGTGTAACACGATGTTCCAATGTTCCTGTAAATTTAAATAAACAATACTTAGTAAAATATATAAATATGATAAGTTACGAATTCAAAGAAATAATACCTGCATGGTTTCTTTTCTTGTAGTACCACTGTTGAATAGAGGCTCGAAAAAACTCCATTAACATAGTAATGGGTAATTTCCGGGAATGACGACTTAGAGCGTTGATTGATTCTGCACTATTAGACGTCATGAAACCATATATTGCTCCAAGTTGATGTACTCTTGACCATCTTTCAAACCCGACATCTTCTAGTGTTTGAGCACACTGAGGCAAAACACGTCTTAAACAATTTATATGCTTATTGAAATCCACTTCCCGATAAGCTTTTACAGCCTTCCAGTATGTCCATTTGTGCTTTTTTATACCAGCAGACCTTGATTTTAGATTTCTATACAAATGAACACCACAAAGTCCATGAAAAGCATCTGGGAAACACCTTCTAACAGCGTTGTCAATTGAGTTTGCCCTATCGGATATGATTGTCAGATTGCTAATAGGACCTATGCAATCCCTAAGATGCCCCATAAACCATGTCCATGAATCAGAGGTTTCAGATTTGCCAACCCCGTAAGCTATTGGCAATATCCCATTGTTAGCATCCATGGCTACTGCTAATAAGTTTACTCCAAGGTATCGACCTTTCAAATGTGCTCCGTCAACTATAATAACTGGGCGCATGCAAGTAATAAACGAACGAATCTACAAAATAATATACACAAGAAATATAATCATTTAAATGTGAAATGCATGTAACTAACAAAAATGAGTCAACAAAATTATATTGATTTACTAACCGTAGCACCAATGGCGATAAACAGCAACTCAAAGCGTCCATCTCTATCTGTTTGATATGAGTTACCGACCCAGGATTTTTCAGCTTTAAATTGTGACAATAAGCCGGCAGTTGGGCAAACGATGCTTCTGGCGACCCCCTCAACAATTCCAAGGCATAACATTTGGCTCTCCAAGCTTGAGAATATGATATACTAATCTTGAACCGAGCATTCATGTCAGTCATAATTTCATGTCCCCGATATACCCTGCCATTCAAAAACATTAACTCAGCCAGAAAACCACCCAACACCTTTTTGTTTGCCTGTCTATGGTGAGGAAAAACTTGGGTTCTTGAACATGTATGTTTATCAATAAAAGTCCTAACTTGAAACATTTTACAATCTTTTATTCTCTTTGCAATCATACGCCACGTACAGTTTTTGTCAATCATACACCTTGTTTCGAAACGATCTTTGCTTGATTTGTTAACTTTTAGTTGATAGCCATCTTCCACACATTTCGTATATAAAGCTATCTTCAAGTCTTCCTTTGTATCAAAACAATCATCTTTCTTGATACGAATAACTTTTGTGTAACAATCAACTGCTTTCTTTATCAACTCTTCTTCCGGTATCTGAAGTAATTCTGGCATATTCCAGTTATACGCCCGTGGCATTTTCTTTTCTTCGGGGACTTTTTCTTCTTCTTTTTCTTCTTCAGGATTATATGAATTACAGAATGGATGTTCAACATGTTCATTCACAGTCGTAACTTCCTCCTCATTATCATCAACATTACATTCTTCGGCAACGGCTGTTTCATCATCAAAATTCGGGTATTGACCAATATCAATATCATTACACGCATGGTCTGTTTCTTCTTCTGAAACATCATCAAAATCCGTGTATGACCAATATCAAAGTCCGGATATTGACCAAGACCAAATTTCGAATACTGACTAGTACTCACAATTTTTTCTGTTGGCTCATCATCGTCTAACTGGTCAATACGAAAACCGGAATTTGGTGCTGAAAGTTGATTGGGATTTGGATTAGAGAAAGGTTGTGGGTTTTGAGAAAAACTTAGTTGATTACTACCCGCTACTGACCCAACAATACTACTTCTAGGTTCAACAACATACAATGTAACATCATCTTGTGAAACACTAATGTAAGCAATGAATCGTTCAACATCTTCATTGTCGGTTAACAAATAAACTTTACCATTTCTCTGATAAGATAGCCTAAATCCACTTAGGGGCTCTAAATTCAATTTATTTGAAACACGTAGCATTAGAGTTTCATAAGTTAACTTTTGTAAAGACAATTTTAGTTGAAGATTCATGGGTAAAGGCATATATTGTAAAACACCATGAACATTATCCCATGACCCTCCAAAACACAAATCTATCCAAACATGATCAACATTAGATGATTTCATGGTTGTAAATTAATTTACTAAACAGACGAGCTGCGAAACTAAAACCTGTTGCCGGATTGGGAAGGATGTCGTTGGATATAGGAACGGATGTCGCCGGAGAGAGTGATAGATGGAGATGGAATGAGTTGCGATTTAGGGATTTAGTTTATGATTTCAGTGTTATATACCCAAAATTTCAGTGTTGTGATTTACAGATTCTCGTTGCGATTTACGGATTATCGTTGCGATTTACAGATTCTCGTTGCGATTTACGGATTATCGTTGCGATTTACGGATACGCGTTGCGATTTACGGATTATCGTTGCGATTTACGGATACGCGTTGCGATTTACGGATACGCATTGCGATTTACGGATACGCGTTGCGATTTACGGATACACGTTGCGGTTTACGGATACGCGTTGCGATTTACGGATACGCGTTGCGATATACGGATACGCATTGCGATTTACCCATACGCGTTGCGATTTACGGATACACGTTGCGATTTACGGATACGCGTTGCGATTTATGTGTTCGCGTTGCGATTTTCATATTCGCGTTGCGATTATGGAAAATCGCAATGCGAATTTGTACTATCGCATCGCGATTTTCAAGAATCGCGTTGCGATTTTGGAAACTGATTTGCGATTCTGGGGATCGCGTTGCGATTTTTATTTCGCGTTGCGAATTTGTTGGTCATTTTGGCAAATCCAAAAAAAGTTGGTTAAAATCGTATATTATAACTTTTTTTTGGTCACTGAGGCGATTTTCTCTACTCATATTTATATTATGAACGCATTTTCATTTAAATTTAAATTATTAATTCAAATTATAACCAAATGAACTCAAATAATTTTCATTTTCATCTCAAATATAGTTTATCGCTCCCCTCAATTATTCACATTCATCCTTAAACTATTAATTTTAGTACTCCGTTCAAAATTTAACATTAAATTTTGATTTTTTTTTTAAAGTTTAAGTATTAAAACAGACTAAAATTTATAGTTTATGTACTAAACACGTTACGTTTTTAACAACTGGTACTAAAATGAAACAAAAACTAAACATAAAGTATGATTTTGAAGAAAAAAATCTAAAATGGACGAAAATTAATAGTTTAAGTACTAAATGCGTAGTTTACCCATAAAAAAGACGTTAATTTAAATGTAAAGATGGACGGCTTAATATGAAATGCTGAAGATTTTATGATTATGATAATGAAGGTACAACCTTTGATTTTCAGAAAGGAAGAAGAGATACATAATGCAACAATATTAATTTGAAGTCTGAAAATTTTGATGTGATTCACCATTTAAATCTGGGTTTTGAGTTCCAGGATCAGTTGCAAAGAATATTCAGGCAAAAACCCTTCTGAACCATTGGCTGGAAATAAAACCTAATTCCCCATCTTATTATCGTCATATTCGAATGCCAAACTGAATATCTGACTGTAGTCATCGACGAAATGAACATCGAGACCTTCTCTTACATTTGCAGCAAGCTCGTCGTAATCACGTCTGTTAGCAGACGGGAACACGATCGTCTTCACTTCACTCCTCTTTGCTGCTATTGTCTTCTCCTTCACCTGTTGAAAAAGTAGTTTTCTTAAGTTTACGTTGTGATATATGACCCGAAAAAGTAAATAAAGGGTCTGTTTAGCTTACCCCTCCGATTGGAAGAATCTTCCCGGTCAGGGTGACTTCTCCGGTCATTGCTACATCCTTCCTAATAGGCTTCTTCATGGCAAGGGATAGCAATGAAGTGATCATGGTGCAACCGGCACTCGGTCCATCTTTTGGGGTGGCTCCACCAGGGACATGGAGATGAAGCTTGGAATTGGCAAAGAAGGGGTTATCTGGTTCTTTCTCCAGCAAAATGGCTCTAGCAAGTGTGTGACCAATCTGTGCGCTTTCTTTCATGACATCTCCGAGTTGACCGGTGAGATGAAGTGCCCCTTTCCCCTCTCCTTGCTCAATCACTGTAGTTTCAATGTACAAGGTGGAGCCACCCATGGAAGTCCAAGCTAGACCCATCACGACACCAACTGGAGTCTGATCGTAGAGGCGCTCCGCATGGAAAACTGGTTTCCCAACAAAATCGGCTAGGTTCGAGGTATCCACCAACACCTTTTCAACTGCCTCGATTGCTTCAGTTTCATGATGTTCTTTACCGTCTGTTGCACCCTGCAGGAAAAGTATTTTGAATGAGCAATTAAAGGAATAAGTGACCGGATTACGCAACTAAAGCAAGTTTTCCCGAATTCCCAAACCCAAACCGCCTTTTAGAAATTAATAACTTCTAAAATACCTTTGAATCCTTGGGCTGGTCATTTGTCTGAACTGTGTCAACCTGAACCGAGGCTTCAGATTCATGACTTATATTCCCTACTGATTCATCATCGACATTAGTCTTGTTTGCAGCTGCATGATGATCAGATTCATCATCAACTTCTGCTTTGGCATTGGCAGGCTCGACCGATTTTCCACTAATGTCAGGCTCATTTGATGATCCTTCTCTCACAAGTCGAAGAGCAATCTGCCATACACCAACATGGTTTTAATCAATATCCAGATTTCACACAATTCCTAGAGATATATGACTGGGGAGAAAGAGAGTGCATGTTCATGTGAATCCGTGTGACTGTTCACTGCAATGCTTTATGACTGAAACCTAGTAACCGTCCCAAAATTTTTCGCTTTGTGCAAACCTTACGGTAGATCTTTTCAATGTGCTTTTGAAGGTTCCGAACCCCTGCTTCTCGACAGTAGTTTTCTATTAGGCCAAGAAGAGCTGCATCGGTAATCTCAACCTGGAAGAAACAGCTTGATGAGAAGTCAAAAATACACTCCTTACATTTTTTTTAAAATTTCTCCATCAAAAACAAAAACACCGCCGTGATAAAATTGAAATAAAGATAACATGTATGAGGTAATCTGCTATTTAGCTGACGTCAGCATTACCGGCACAAACTATAGTAACTTAGTTCAGAAGTTATCACAGACAAGGGTTCAAAGCCACCGATCATGCTTTTTATTACATGCATGAAAGAAGAGAGATTTTATACTAACTCAAGTTGGAATCCATGTTTATTCAAACTTAGAGATTGAAAGCGACTTAATCCAGATAGCTATTCTCCATTTTGGATCTCTATGCTTGTATGTTACACGATCGTATAACTGCTCATGCATGCGCAGACACGGATGTTGAGGGAAAGGGGGGACAAAAAAAAAGCAGGTATAGAGAGGAAAAACCTGTTCGGGTTTGACACCGCATGCTTCTCATGCAGTTTTCTCCAGATAATCTCTAGCGATGTGCATTTTCTCATCAGTGATGTAACCAGCAATAGCAATGACCTCCATTCGGTCCAAGAGAGGATTCGGTATGTTGTCCACAACATTTGCCGTGCAAACAAATAGGACCTGCAACCAAATGCTTAAGGCATGTGAGGCATCAAGTTCTCCTCTTAAATCTTACAAAAATGCTTGAAAATGATCAAAAAGCAAGCTAGCGTGGACCCTCTAAATCATAAACCAACTTACCTTCGATAAATCAATTGGGACATCAAGATAGTGATCCAAAAAGTTAGCATTTTGCTCAGGATCAAGGAGCTCTAGCAAAGCACTTGCTGGATCGCCAGCATGTCCCCTCCCCAGCTGCCATTGTTATAGAATTGAACTGGTCAACCGATTAAATTCAAGAAGACTAAATGGCAGAAAGCCAATATTCAAGGAAGTGAAGAGCGAAACACCGTACTACCCTAAAGCACACCATCCATGCAAAGTTTTCAAACATTAGATTTTAAGATACCTTGTCTATCTCATCAATTAGAACAAGAGGGTTAGCAGTCCCAACATTTTTCAGGCACTGCACCATCTTCCCTGGCATGGCACCAATATAGGTCCGCCGATGTCCCTGGGAATTAATTAGGATTTAAACAAGAAACCAAGTCAATGAGGATATCAGACATTTACTGATAACAATCAGAGAATAAGGTGCACAACTACCTTGATTTCAGCAACATCAGACAGTCCCCCAACAGAGAACCGATAGAACTTGCGGTTCAAAGCACGGGCAATGGAACGGCCAATACTAGTTTTTCCCACACCGGGAGGGCCTGAGAGACAGATAATTTTACCTGCACCCATAACAAAAAGATCATGAATGAGCCTCTGATGTTATTAAACAGATAGCCAGTTTTGTACACCTTCAACTGTATGCAACAATGTTGAAGCATAATGATGATTCGGCTCAACAAGATTAATTTAACAAAACAATGTTAGGAAACTACATGTCCGAGTAAAAAGTAACCAAACTCAAACCGGTAGGAGCTCACTACATCAACCATATTCCTTACAAGAACATAGCCAAGGCTGTTATTAAAGAAAATAAGATAAAAGGGGTTGGTTTCTCAAGATTTTTATTCATTCAACAGAAGCCTAAAACCACTTCAATTCTTACCAGGGAAGAATAGATAAAATTCAACTGAAAATTTTGAAACATTTGATCATCCATAAAGAATAGGTTAACCATCTCATGCAATAGTTTACATAACAGAGCTGCCAAATATATTTACTAGCTTTATTTAGTGTGAGATTTACTCTCACTGCAAACTGTTGTTTAGAATATTTAGGTACAAAGTGGAGATTGGTCAATGCCACTTCACCGACATGGAACACAAGTGGAAAAGATGAATTGTGGCTCACAGAAAGAATAATAAAACATTCCTTTCACCTAAACATCAATACAACTCTATAAAAGAAAATAAACTTGACCAACCTTGTGAAGTTCCTCTGAGTTTTCCGACAGCTATAAATTCCAATATTCTTTCCTTAACATCAGTTAATCCATAATGGTCTTCATCAAGAATTGTTTGCGCCCGAATAACATCAAAGTTCTCATCACTGCATAGAGAAACAAATAACATTAGACTTATATATATATACATATGGAACTACTAAAATTTTCCCAGTTGTTCTTTAGTTATTCTGCCTCACTATCAAGCATGACTATTACAGGATTATAGATTAATACAGGGAAGAGAACTATTTGTGGCACAGTGAACTAAAACTGATTATCAAATCGTAATATCACGATCATTTGTGTGTGCAAATCAGAAATCATTTAAGAAATATATTTATATGACTTCAATGCCAAATCATATTCAGAATTCGCGTAAGTCCTAACATGTAACGCTGGAAACCAAACCTGTAATTCCCCCAGGGCAGTACTGTTAACCAATCCAGATAGTTACGAGTTACATTAAATTCACTTGAACTGGCCTCTAACAGCTGTAGTTTTGTTAGCTCCTCTTCTATAACTTGCAAGACATGAGGTGGGCATTTCTCTCTATTTGGTTCAAGTCTTTCCCTAAATTTTGCTGCAAGAAAGGAACAGAAAAAGTATACTAAATGTGACAATAATAGTTTCAATTTCAAATCTAAAATTAAAAAAAAATTAAACTAGTTCTTCATCCATACGAAAAATGACTTCAACAACAAATTACGTCCAAGGAGAGCATCCATGCATGCAAATAATTATTTTGTAAAAGTGGGGAGAAAAAGAAAGGAAAAGTAAGCAGGTAAATACTATATTGTAATTCGGCCAAATAAGACATGAAACAGAACTAACCTAAAAGTGCAGTTTTGTCATCCGTTTCCAACCCAAGTTCCTGAACCAGAACAAATGAAATTCATTCTAATTTCTACAGAGGAGAAAAAGTTGGAAAAAAATAATAGACACACAAGTTTACAGAAAATGAAATGATCATATGGGGGCAAATTTGACTGTATATTATAAAGATAAATTGGTAAAAGCATTAGCACTACCTAAGAGAAATATCATTAATAATTTATCAGAATCAAATACCTTCTTTATCGCCTTAAGCTGCTCATTCAACAAGTACCGGCGTTGTTCAGCACTTATCTTTTCCTCGATTGCTTTCGCAATTGATTCCTAAAAATAAGCATAAATAATTTAGACCTACCAAAGATAATAAAAGAAAAAAAATTAAATAATGTACAGGTGCAAGGAGATTCAATGGCATCAAGTACCTGAATCTTGCTGATTTCCATTTCCTTTTTAACTAACTCCAGTGTAAGTTGTAATCGCTTATGCACCTAATGGAAACAGTATGGAACAGTTTCAAGAGGAGATAACTACTTCGGTTCGGTCTCTAAATATATAAACACAAACATATAGGTGCCAAAGCCTATTCCATAATGATTCACATAAAAGATGTCCCCAAATACAAAACCAACCAAACCGGAAATAGATCTCAAAGATAACTAATCAAAATTACAATGTATCGAAGCAACTTACATCCAGCTCTTCAAGAACTTGCTGGCATTGCAGTTTGTTTGCACCAGATATTGCAGCTCCAAAATCTGCTAACCTTGGAAAATTGAAATCACCTATATGCTGCAAAACATTAGAAGGAAAAAGAAAAGGATTTCACAATTAAATTAAGAAAGTTAATTGAACAAAACACATAATAGTTTTGGTAGTAATATGATAAACATATAACAATTTCTAGTGCAGGCAATTGACATGAAGAAATACCAACTCAATGTGATATTAAAATAATCTTTGAACATTTGCAGAAGTTACAAATATATGATGTCTATCTAATGTGAAACTCAATGGAGGCTCCACCTTCTTTAAGGGAATATTTGGAGGAAAGTACAAATACATAGAGGAAAAACAAGCTCTAGAAAACACAAAGAGAAGATATAAAAAAACATAATCGGCAATCTTGCTAGCCAAATGCAAGACAAAGGACTCACTGGTTTCTCGTTAATGAGAGCTGTTGGGAATGTTGTTCTAATGATATTTGAGGACTCTGCTACGTTGAGAAGGGTGAAGAATGAACAATCAAAGACTCTTGCAGAGTGGTTTTCCAAAGTTGAAGCTTGGTCAGAGAGTCTAGTGGTGGAGTGCCAACGAGTGTGGGTAGTTTGCGAAGGAATTCCTTTTCACGCTTGGAATTGTGGTACTTTCAAAAACATTGCAGCTAGGTGGGACAAATTATTAGCAATTGACGAAAGCTCTCAATTTCCTTTGATCGGGCAAAAATTCAAATCCTCACAAAGGATAAAGTGAGAATTGACGAGTCATTGGGTTTGAATGTCGGTGCTAATTTTTTTTTAAATCATGGATCATGAAGTTGAGCCTTCTTTCAAACCAAAGTCTTGGATCCCTGAGGAAGTCGATGATTCATTAGATTTGATTTGTTCTCTTGGGGCATCGACGGAGAATTCTCTGTTAGGATCGTCGGTGTTCTCCTCAGGTTTAAATTGCCCCGTCGAAGATGTTGCAATTGAAGTTGCCAACATAGAAAATTTTTCACTCATGAAGAGTGCCAAAAGTGATGAGAATTCGAGTAACAAATTTGATGAGGATGATCTTATTAAAAGCGGGTCTACCGGTGTTAGGTCAGGATTGTCTCCTTCCCCTTGTTCAGATTCAGGGTTTCATTCAATGGAGGCCTTGGATCAATCAAAATTAAATATCGTAGAGCATCTAGTTAATAAATCAGTTGATCATTCTGATGGAGTTAGCCCCAGGGCCTTGAAAGATGTTCTTATGATGGGTCTCATTACTTCTAATGGTCTACCCTGTGACGCAATACAAGTAAAGGAAGATACCCCAGCAGTGCCCCCTTTCCCTGGGAAATTAAGAAAAAATCGTGTGGTGAAGAAATGCAAGCAAAAGAAAAGTGTTCTGAATTAAGTTGCAAGGACACATTGATTGATGGGAAGGAAGTGAGGTTTTGTTCCATTGAAGATATCTTTAGGAGCTGAATTTTTTTGCTGATTTTGGATCGTGATGGTATTTTGTGGAGTTCCCTTCAGAGGCAGATTTTTCCTTTTTATGGTTGCAGTGGTTTTTTTCTGTATGTTATTAAGTGTTGGCTTGTTTTCTTTTGCTGGAGGTATATCTTAGGTATAGGGTGATTGTCTTTGGATTTTTGTGGTCGAGGAGGCGAGAGTTTTAGGTGGTTATGGTTTTTTGTAATGGTGTATATCCCCGTTTGAGGGTATTCCGTGTTTTCATATATATTGGGTGTTTTATTTAATGAAATATGAGGTACTCTTTTCTTCCTTCCAATGTTCGTTAACACACTTGTTAGTATATGGGCGAATATAAAGGGAGTTTTTAATGAGACCTCCAACTTTTATCAAAAAATAAATAAAGAAACATAAAGAAAATATTAAAAATTTGGAAGAAGGAAAGCACCTGACCTGACTATATGTTTGAACATGATCCCTCCAAAGGGAACTAGTTTTCAGAACATCTCTTAGGGTTGATATAACCTCAAAGGGTGTTGCCTTTATGACATCATCATCCTTGTCATAAGGTTTTTCCTGCAGCATAACGACATCTGGTGAATCAATAGACTAATAACTATTCACCGTGTTTAAATTTTGATCATAAAATTCTGGAAGTGAAAACATATGGACAACATACCTTGAGATGATCAACTTTGACTGTAAGGGGATCTTCACTGACCTGTATAGAAATCAAGATGTTCAAGTTCAGAAGCTTTGCATAAAACAAACGTTCCACTTACGTATTATGAATATCCTTTTACATGAACACCAGATTATCATTGGCTAACACGATATATTTAGGATCTCTCTCACCCACCATCTCTGTTATTCGAAGCCGCCTGTGACCAATAAGGATAACCTGGTCTCCTTGGATACTTGAAATCTGAAAATATCAGATTATAGATACATGCATTAGTGGACACATTATATGTTGCAACTGCCACTCAGTACTGCACTCAATACTAATCAAGACATAATGCCTTTTAGCTAAAAGAATAGCCACAAAAATAGATACCTGAGCAAGGGTGCCAACTTCATGAAGACGATTAAACAATTCCTTTCCTTTAATATCATATACACTTTCCTCTGATTCAGAACTAGGGCTGGACTCAGTCCCTGGTTCATCTTTAAGAAGGAAAGCACCAGCATACGGAGCTTGCCTTTTCCGGCTTTCTTGTAAAGCTGATAGCAACTTAGGATCCTGCTCGACAAAGCGTGTTGGTAAGAGAATCCATTGACCTCATTATGCCTAGATAATATCGCAAGCAACAAACTCAACAGGATATTTTCACCGCTGTTAAGTAGTATAATTCACAGCATCGTGTGGACTTCTCTAGAGCTACAAAATCACAGATTTGCGGTGAATCTAATCTATAAAATGGTGCCACTTCAAGGGTCAAGATATGATCCACAATCGAATCGATAGAAAATTGCTCCAAATTTACAATTCATCAACATCGGCTATAGATCCTAAGTCTATAAATATTACTAGTTACTACCCTAAGGGGAAAAAAAGATGAGAATTTCATAATCCATGAAAGTAGATGGCAGGATCTACCTTAACATAAATAGGCATGTAAAATCCTGGGAAAAGAGGTCTATGTGGCAAGGGTAACGCCAAAACCTGAAAACAAAAACAAAAAGAATATGTTTAATCAAATCTAGGAGAGAACAAACACAGAGCTTTCTTTGAAAATACAGATCATGATTTCGACAAATTCGATCAAGTAGAATTCTTCACAGTTTGTTGTTGCACAATGTTGAAGGAAAAATATACAGTGAAAACTAACAATTTGCAGGTTCACAAATGTATTCTCATTTTATCAATTCCAATCATGCCACCTCATTACACATGATCTGTTAATGTCCAAAACAAAGAAAATTCACGAGAAAGATTACGAAAGGACCAACTTTACATAAGTAAAACCAATAAACATTGAGCAAAATTCAACAGCATTTTCCTGTCATCCATTTCCCTTCAAAGATTCATAATTTTCGAAACTAACCGTCAAGTAATCCTCTGGCCTGGGGTAAGCTGGCACAATAGCTGACGATGCTTTCGAGTCAGACCCATCGGACTCGGACTCAACTCCCTTTTCCTCGACCTCAACCACCGGTTGGGACTCGGAACCCGATCCGGACCCATCACTGGAATCAGAACAGAAGAAAGCCCGGAAGAGCGAATTCGTAGGGCTCCGCCGAGTCAATCCGGTGAATCGACTCGCTGGATCGAAGAGCGAATTCGAGTCATGCTTAACTCGGAGGCTAGGAGCTACCGTGCTGATGCAGTGTGCACGATTGGAGGAGGATAAAAAGAGTTTCAGCATCGAAGGGGCAGAAAAGGAATTTTATTTGATAAAAGTGGTTAAAATGGCAACGGGAAATGCACCATTGGCGAAGAAGCTTGAAGGAGGAAAATTGGGTCTTAGCGGAGGTCGAAGATGAAGTTTACTAATAGGTAAAACCTTTCCTAAACCCTTGGATTTTAAAGTGAGTTACGGTTTTGCCCTTATAGAGTATAAACCCAATCGAAAGAGAACTACAACGTTCTCTCTTCTCTCTGTTCATCTTCTTCCTTTATGATCCTTGACTCTTCTTCAATTCCTCCCTTAATTCAATCGTGCACATATCAATTTGATATCTTCTATAATTAATCTCGACCAGATGCATCCAAGGCCCAACCTTTTCCGTGGAAAGTTTAGACTCGGGAACATTTTCTCGGGAAACAAACACTCCCTAAGGCCATTCTTTTCAGACAACACTCCATTACCAATCGTAACCGAACTCATATCAAAACAACACTGGGGAAGCCTCAAAACCCATCTCCAAAACGAAAACCCCATCACACTTCTGCAACAACTGCTTGATTCTAGGATTGACTCTTGCCTCACACTAAGGTACTACTCTAAAGAACCCAGCTTGAAGTGTACCCAATTTTTCTTTCTTTCTTTTCCTTTGGGTGTTTATTCGATTTTTCTTCATATCTTGTAGGTACTATAAATGGTCAGAGAAAGAGTTTAATCTCTCCCATTCATTAGAACATAGTTGTATGCTGTTACATTCTCTTGCAAATTCTAAAGAGTATCCGAAAATGAGATCTTTCTTACATGGCTTTTTGAAGAATGAGAACCCCATTTCAGTTTCTTCTATTTTTCATGCCATTTCAATATCTGGTGATAGTTTTTGTGCTGGTTCTATAATTGCTGATATGTTGATATTGGCTTATGTGAATCATATGAAAATTGATTTAGGATTTGAGGCTTTTAAGAGAGCTGGTGACTATGGTTTTAAGTTATCGGTATCGTCGTGTAATCCTCTGTTGAGTGCTTTGGTGAGGGAGGAGAAGATTGGATATATGGAATATGTCTATAAAGAGATGATTAGGAGGAGAATTGAGTTTAATTTGATAAGTTTTAATACTGTGATCAATGGACTGTGTAAAGTTGGGAAATTGAATAAGGCTAGTGATGTTGTTCAGGACATGAAGGCATGGGGGATCTTGCCAGATGTGATTACCTATAATACTCTTATTGGTGGCTATTGTAAGAAAGGTCGGATCGGGAAAATGTACAAAGCGGATGCTATATTGAAGGAAATGATTTCGAACGAAGTTAGACCGAATGAGATTACTTTCAATATATTGATCGATGGGTTTTGCAAGGATGAGAATTTATCAGCAGCTATGAAGGTGTTTGGGGAAATGCAGACACAAGGTATGAAGCCTACTGTGGTTACATATAATTCTTTGATTAATACACTCTGTTTGGAAGGGAAGCTTGATGAGGCTTTCCGTATGCTGGATGAAATGGTAGGATCTGGTTTGGAGCCGAATGTTGTTACTTACAATGCACTTATAAATGGGTACTGTAAGAAGGGTAAGATGAAGGAAGGTACTGACTTGTTCGATGATGTTGTAAGACGAGGAATTGCTCCTACTGTTATAACATATAATACTCTGATAGACGCCTATTGTAAGGATGGGAGAATGGAAGACGCATTTGCTCTGCGCGAATCTATGTTAGATAGAGGTATTTTCCCTAATATTTCGACATATAACTGCTTAATTGCTGGTTTATGTAGAGAAGGAAACATTGCGATCGTAACAAAGCTCATGGATGAAATGCAAAATAAAGGTGTGAAAGTTGATTTTGTTACATATAACATACTGGTCGGTGCATTGTGCAAGGATGGAGAGTCGAGAAAGGCTGCAAGAGTCTTAGATGAGATGGTTAAGATAGGTTTGAGACCGAATCATGTAACGTATAATACTTTGATGGATGGCTATTGCAGGGAGGAAAACCTCAGAGCAGCATTGAACGTTAAAACACGAATGGAGAAAGAAGGGATGCGGGCTAATGTTGTGACATACAATGTGCTAATAAAGGGTTTATGCAAGAAGGGTAAATTGGAAGAGGCAAATGGACTTCTTAATGAGATGTTAGAGAAAGGTTTGGTCCCAAATCGAACAACTTATGAGATAGTTAAAGAGGAAATGGTGGACAAAGGCTTTGTTCCTGACATTGAAGGACATCTGTATAACATCCCAGGCAGCTGATAACCTTTAAAAAAAAACTGATTTGTATTACCATGACCAATTATTTATTGGCATTGTTGATCAATTGATCTGAGAGAATGTCAAGTGGTTTTATCATGTTTATAAAAAGATAGTTCCGATTTGTCTTGTTCCCATTTCTGCAGCATCCATTTATATGCTTTTTCTTGCAATGGATACTTCAATATCCTCCTCGATTCCTCAGAACATGCTACTTATTTCAGATTCAGGTCCTCTTTCTAACTTCTGGTTTAAACTTTCATTCAATTGTTTAGGTGTTTTATCTCTGTTTAAAGTTACTTTATTTTAACCTTCTTTGTAGAAATCGGCTTTTATGCTTTGTATGAGAGTTGACAGTTGTTCTTCAAAGTTTGCAATTTACTTCCCCAGATTTCTTTGATTTGGGCTCTCATTCTGTAGCTTGTGCATTGAAGGGGGATGTGAAGCTTTATTTTTACAACATTAGAGCTGCTCATGTCGATGGAGCAACGAATCTTGCAAATGCTCAGAGGACACAGTGTTGCAAGGCATGTCCGCTGAAGATACATACGAGTGACAAAATCTAAAGAGGCTACGGTTCGATGGGTCGAGTCACCTGTCTCATTTCCTTAGAACCAAGAACCACTTGGACAGCAATTCACATTCATTTGATCATAATATGACAATAACTTTGAACTCCATCCTATGCAGTGCTTAAAACTAGCTCTTTCAACTTTGAAGAGCAAAATGAACACAAGAATCAATAATGTTTGGGAATGTAAGCCCTCAAATTATCAGTTTTGTTCGAACCTAAGTTTTACAATCTAGTCAGTTTCTAAAGCTTTACAACATAAACAACTATGATACCCTGTGCCTTGTTCAACACCGAGCTGCTTTAAGGAAGTTGTCGAACGGGCTAGCGGGAGGCAACCTCTTAGACAAACATGGGTCGATCTGTGAGACAGCTCTGGTTAAAGCACTTTCATTTGACATCTGTGATAGAGACATGCAAATGAAAAAGACAAAGCAGATCATGATCGAGATGTAGCCATATTTGTTTTCAGTAATCACTGCTACTGATTGATCCATAATCATTTTGAGTAAATAATGTCATGAAAAGTGAGTAATGTATTCTATTTACCTTCTGAAGCATCATCGCGTGTCTATCAGCAGCAACTGTTGGTATAATTTTATCAGCAACTCCTTTTTCATGGGCCAACCAGTTGGAGAGCTTCTTCATTGTACCGGTGCCAAGTGCTTCGCATTGGCTAGCCATGGTATCGTATGGGAGAGGTGATGTAGAAACGGATGTTGCTGCAACTCGACCAGCCACCTCAAGTGCCTATGAAACGCAGTAATATTAACGAATATAAGATCTTACAAAATCTCATGCAGAAGTTCTATGGTTTTTGGAGGTTCGCAGGACAAATGTACGAGAGATTACCGACTGCAAGAGCTGCCCAATGTCAGTAACATGAGACGCAGAGGAGGATGCAGCCACTTTCTGAATGAAGTGGGACAGGCCGACGACAGACACTTCACTTCTTGTATCATCCTCGACTAATGAGCTTGTTTGAATATCCTGCCACATAAGCACCGAAACACCAAGATAGATTACATGCAACAAGCTTTTCAAGTTATACGTTGGTTCAGTACAAAAAGATGTTAATATACGGGCATACCTCATCGAAATAAAGTGATTGTTTCGAATAGGGAATCATTTGATTGTGGTCCAAGTCAAATGTAGATCGAGAGCCAAACATGAATGCATCATCGGGCGTGAACGGCTCAGACAACTGCGTCGTCAGATCATCTACCTCCAGCTTTAACAAGCACAAAAAATTAGCTTTAGAAACTATATAGAGACAGAAAGAGGGCATCTCTTAATAGTATGTCCCACCTCGGTGATGATCGACAAATTTTGAACCAAGATATCAATCAAGACATTGTCGGATCGATATATTTTATCCCGCAACTCCGATAGCAAAGAAGAGGCCTACTGATTATCAGTAACAAGTCCATAACTTTTGACATCTGCCTGAGGTCTTACGAATACTTGAAAGTCTTCGCTGATGCCCAGATAAGAATCAGCCTGAAAATAGATAAGCATGGTTACAAACAATGACATTGCATTATATATACATAACAGGTTATATACCAGAAACACTGCGAACTTTGTCGCGTTACACGCTTAAAACGATTCAAGGAAAGAGTAACTTACGTCAAACGGAACTACGGGCTTGATCAGATCAATCAGATCAGGTATTTGACATATCTTAGCTGCAAACATCAGCATGCCCGTTGACAGCACGAGAATCGATCGCTGGAATGCCGGAGTTAACATCCCAGGGAATATCCACAAAAAACAATGGGAGTTGGCAAATTAAACATCCTATCCTAAGATATGAAAGCTTGCCTATTAATAGTACATACCATTGCTAGGGTCCAACGCGATATTCTTTAGGGACAATGGAAGTTGGAAGAAGGGAACCACAAGGTCATCATAGATGTTCTGCAACATGACAATTTAGAAGATTATTAGCAAACGGACAACGTAAAAGAGACCATGTAGTGATTCGATTTACCTTCAATTGTACAGATATTAATGTCAGTGCAAAAGAAAGTGATATAGGTTCTATGTTTGACGGCATATTATCGGACAGAGTGGCCTGTATCCAGAAGCCAGACAATAACTGCATTATCTGATCCTCTGTCAGCTTCATGATATATGGTTCCTGAGGGGAGAAAATAATACAAAAGATTGATCGCATCGAAAGGACAGGAGGTAAACTAGATAATTGCACATAGAACATGATCATGAAACAGGAGAGCTGCTTACTGCCTCAACCATGTTTGATGCAGCCGTTTTGTCAATAATAGATGTTATATTATAGATATTACGGGAACTCTTCATGACAAGGCCTTGCTTCCGGTCCTCTTCGATATTGTCCTTTCCTTTAAAATCTTCATGAATACTATAACCATTCTTTTCCAATTTGATGCCATCCTTTTCCCTTCGGAGCTTTTCAAGTGACGCTGATATGGATTCAAATGCAGAAGCAGTGTTGGAATGCCATCTTCTCGGTTCATAGACACAACCAGAATGCAAAGACGCAACTTCATGTCGAGGACGATTAGAACTTGGAATAAGAAGAGCTGCAAATATTTGGTGTGCTCCAACACGGACCTTGACGTTGGGATGCAACATTGATTTCATCAGTTGAACAAGAACGAGCTTTGTAGCTTTTAATACTAATTCTGATTCACAAGAAAACAATTATTTCGGAACAAACTATCCATTTACGGGCCAAAATATATGACTTTTATAAATTATATTTTTTGTCCCTAAATTTTTCTAAATTTATACTTTGACCACTAAACTTTCAAAATTTACATTTTGGTCAGTAGCCAAAATTTGGGGTATTACAAGGAGGATTTCCATGACAATTCTATTGCCAAAACAGAAGAAATTGAAGAATTGGACAATGGAGAGCAAGAATAAGCAAAATGGATAGTAAGTCGACTGGGTAAATATTTCGAACCATTGGACTACTCATGTAAGGAAGGTAAAATTATTTTTAATTATTTAACGATATAACACCCAAAACAACTCAATAGCCAGAACATAGAAAGCAGACTAAAACGAATACAAACAAGAGGTGAATTTATAAAATTTTAAGAGAGTTAAAAATAAATCATCTATAAAAACAAAAAAAATATTTAAATTATATAAAAAATCAAAAATTCAACCCTCCTTAGTCCATTCTTGAATATTGATTGTTAAACAAAAAGCTTTGTTAAATTCTCAATTTCCATGATGAATTTTCTATTTTTGGGTATTTTTCATTCTTTTTTAAATATATATATATATATATATTCTATTTTTCTTAATAATTAGAAAATTCATGTTCAACAAGAAATGGATACAAATATCACAACACTATCATTATCACGATCATATATTAGTATACAAGGCAATATTCAAGTCCTTATTAATTGTTACCCTTCTCTCCTACACTCCATATATTAGTATTGTATCACAAGTATAGTATCCATCCACAAACTTATGTACACAACTGATACGATCGTAGTTTCCTGCCGGATCATACCGCCGAGTGCCGTTCTCTAACACGCGGTAAACGATTCATGCATAGCCTTGTAGCATTGCAGGCTGCAGAGGGGAAGCTTCGATTTCGAATCTCGGTACTTGTACGGATTTGTACAAGTTGGAACAGCACATTTCTCTCGAGGAGGAGGGTAACCGCAAGGCTTGGGATCGAATATACTTGGTAAGCCTACCTCGTTCGGGAATGTTACTGTTGTTCCCGAAGGGCCCATTAGCCATCTAACAGAGTCTGATGCAACTACCATGGAGTTCGTAGCTTTTTCCTGCAGGAAAAAAGGATCAAGATAAAGAGATGGAAGATAAGATTTGAATAGGAAGAAGGTACTGTGAATGATCTTTACTTGTGCCATTTCTTCTTGCCTTTTCTTTAACTTCTCTTCTCGTTTCTTCCTGCTCGAATCTTGGCCGAGAATTTTTCTTATAGCTTCGGCCTGCAAAAATTGAGGACGATTGATCCCGACATCTTAAGAGTTAACATCAACGTTAATAGCATGCATTTTTCCTAACTTCTCGACATTCCAAGGGAGTCATCGGACAAACCATATTCTCAAATCAACCCAGCCCTTTCGGAAACATGGAAAATCGAAGAGGAAGGAACAACGGTGCATACCTCAGATTCCCTAGCTGCCTTTTCGACCTGCACCCTGCGTCGCTGAGCCGCCTCTGCTTTCTTCAGTTGCTGCTCTACTTCGGAGATTTCCTCTTTTTGCTCTGTGACCAGATTATGTTAGATGATAGCATGAACGGAAAAGGCAACAAAAGTAACAATAGTACAAGTACTATACATACTTTTGGGTGGAGCAGGAGGCAATCCATTCGGGAACTCAACCGGACTAACGCCAACACAATAAGAGACATCTTTGCCTGCTTGCAGTGCACGCTGCCGTGTAGTGACAGCCATTTCCTTCTTGTTGTCCCCCAGGAAATCTACAACTTCCTTTCTGGTTTTCTTTCTCCTATTTTCTAGCTCAACATCTGAAACCAATTCTTCATCCTCTTCCACATAATCAGTATCTTCAGAGGTTCTTCCTGATCTTGACTTCTTAGACTCCTTGCTTATTCTTGACGAACCATAATCTCCAACATCTAAGCCATAAAGGCCGTCAACGTTCCTAGTCGCTACCTTGGATATCCTCCGTTGTTTTCTTCCTCCATCTTCTCCATGTTCTACGCCATAATCAGCAGTTACTCTAGCTGTTTTGACCTTCTCAAGGTATCGAATCTCATCATCATCTTCTGCATCATCAAGCACTCCTTCTAATGAGCGTTTCTTGGGAACTCGCTTACTCTTACGGACCGGTTCATGCTTGTCTATACCCTTTGTTGAGATATTCTCAGCAGGTACCCTACCTGTTGACTGATGTACCTGTCTTACACCTATATCGCCTCTTGAGAAATCCTTCCACCGAACCCCTCGCAAACTACCATCCTTCTCGGAAGTAAAGAAGTGGTCATCAGAGTTGTCCTGCACAACACAAAATTACATATCAGATAAGGAATCTCAATAAGAACTCTGTCCATGTATCAGTTCATGCCACAAAATATTAAGGTCATCCCTTCCAACTCACAAACTTTCGACAATATATTTCGAGATGCTCTATAGATATTCTTACAATTTTGAACTTTCTGTGGATACCTGAGACACGGAACTTAAAAACGCAAAAAAGATTCATTTACGATGACTCAAAGATGTTGCAGTTACATGATATGAGAGCTAATTATCAGGAAAGAGTAGTGACTTGGGAATTCTGTATAATAGAAAGTTAGCAACCTTAATACTTGATCGCTGAAGTGATCGAGGGGCGTCAGAAAAGTGAGAGGATTTCGAAGAAGAAGACCCAGCACCGGATGCACTATCACCTACGGATTTGGCATCAATGGTACGCGTAACACCACCAACCTTAAGTTTAACTTTCTTGACTTTCTTCTCATTTTCTAGTCCATCTGAAACACTTCCAAAACTCCCTCCCATGCTCACGCTTTTCCAATTACTAGGTGCAAGGACACCTTCACTGCTTCTTTTCAAATCAATTCCATCATGCCTACGGTCCCTACTGCCTTGGAAAGAACAATAGTCGGAAGCTTCATCGGAGTCTTCATATGCCTCATCGTCAACATTGACTAAATTCTGAATAAATTCAATCTCAACAGGTGTTAATTACATAAGGCCTTCAATTGCCGAAGTTCAAATAGAATGCTTCTCAATGAGAACCGAGAAGTACAACAATTATATAAGAATCATCTCATTCCATGTTTGCTTACATTGTCGGAAGGCGGTGTGGATGATAAAGAAGAAAGATCCTGGAACTCTGTATGAGGTTGTGACTCGCTCCTAGGACGACGGGACGCGCTGCTCCTTTTCTTCCTCATGGCAGTGCTTACATTACTAAATCCTAAGCTTCCAAGGCCTTCCATTGCTAAGAAAAAACAGAAAGCTTTCAGCCTAAGTCTGCTGTCAGGGCACCCCAAATAAATTTCAGAAGAAACATAAGCAAATTAAGCTAAAGTTACGATAACAGGGTACAGAGAGGAAATCTAAAACTTGCCATCTTTAAGTCACTCTAATTGAGGATTTAAATTGCGGTTGCAGCCGTGTTTTCGGTTATCGCAGTTGCGGACATAACGGATTTTATTGCCGTCACCGCCGGTACCGCGATCGTGAATGTTTTTAAAATTCGCACAACTTATTGTGAAACATAATAATTTTAATTTCCGCAAGGGATTGTTGGATTTTAAAACAATAACGCAAATAGCAGCCCGCTGTCGGCCGCTACCCATTAAATTACAGCTGCGATTCACTGTTATTGGTGTGATTCCTCTTCACACCACTAATTTCGGCAATTATGATATCGGACGACGCAGCTACAGCTATATAGCAGCCCGCTATTCCGCTACCCGACCACTATTTAAACACCTCTATTCTACATCATAAGAGAGAAGTTGCATACTAATTTGGCTGTCAGTCGAATATCATCAACCCAATTTCAGTTCATTTCATAGCTACAGATCCAAATTTAGCTCTCAGCTGAATGCCAACATATTTTCCCAAAAAGTAAACCAAATTCTAGACGTTTGTGCTAAAATTCCAACATGAAACTAAACTATAAATAATCAAATTCGACTCAGTTAACAAAATTCAATAAACATCGTAACTTAATTTTTAAAAAAGAAGAAGATAAAGCAAACCCAATTACGAAAACACTGTAAGTAAACCAAAATCGAAACAGGCGCATAAAAAACCTCAAAAAAGATAGAAGAAAGTAGAAGAAAAGATGGCAAAAAATAAAAATAATTTTACCTAGGTAGGGAGTAGTGGAATTGGGAAACAAACACCTTAGATCGCCATGTGAAGGAGGAAAGAAGGAAGTGAATTCAATGGAGAATAAAACCAATAGGTGTTTGGCGGGTTGTACAGTCAAACACGTGGATTGGGATGAATGGATGGCAGCCAGTTTTTCTTTCGGTATGGTAATTAGAGTAAACTACATTTTTAGTATCCAATTATTACTTTTGTTTCATTTAGGTCATCCAACCATAATTTTTTAGGGTAAAGTATCTAAATAGTCTCCAAACTTTTAGGGTGCTTGCATTTTGGTCACCAAACTTTTTAAGCTTGTAATACAGTCATCAAACTTTTAGTTTATTTTCAGTAAGGTTATTGTCGTTACCTCCCGTTAACTTTTGCTGACATGGCATTTAACTCTCGTTAACTCTCATGTTACCCCTCTTCCTCCTCTGCTTCAACAACAAAACTCAAACTAATCATATGCAAATCAAAAACACATATCTATAGTAAAAATCAGAACTTTTCAATTCAGAAGAGAAAATAGATAAAAGCAATAAAATATACAAAACTCAAACTAATCTCATATTACCCTTTCTCCCATTATTTCAAGCGCATAAAAAGGTTTCTTTACGAGGCTTGGTTTGATTTGTGTTGTTGTTTGTAAATTATAGAAGAAGAGGACTAACGAGAGTTAAGTGTCACGTTAGCAAAAGTTAACGGGAGGTAACGGCATGTACCTTACTGAAAACAAACTAAAAGTTCGATGATTGTATTACAAGTTTTAAAAGTTAGATGACCAAAATGCAAACGCTCTAAAAGTTTGAGGACTATTTATATACTTTACCCCTTTTTTAAATCATGCTTAATATTACGATTTGATTTCATTTTGGTCATGTAATGCTAAAAAGGTAACAAAACTATTAACATGACACTAGAAAAATCAATGATGATATGACATTACTCTATGATAACACATCAGTATCACCATTAATTTTTTAATGGTGGGTGACCAAAATGAAATAAAAATTGTTGTGTGACCGAAATTGAATGAAAGTGATAACTGAGATAGTAAATATGTAGTTTATCCTTCATTTTAAGAAGAATTTTTTTTTAATTTTTTATATATATATATATATATATATATATATATATATATTGAAAATAGCCTGAATGCCATTAGCATGACCTAGCGTCTGCTACAACCAAAGCAGCAATACATTCAGCATAATCATAGTTAAAAGACACCGAAGCAGCATTGGTGGTGGATGCGAACTGCGCCAACATGTGGGCCGTTTGATCTGCCGGCCGACGAATGGCAGGAACGCAGAAACCTGGATATGCGATTAAGATATTATGAACTCGGGTGAGGTGAAAGCGAAGCACCGATAGGTCTGAATCATAATGAAGAAGAGCACCGTTAAACACTAATGATGATGAATTTAAAAATTTTACAAAAAATCAACGTATAATTATAAATTAGTTAAAAATTTAAAGAATAAATATTTAAAATAAAATATTAATTATATTCTTTTTATAATATTTTTTTTAAACTAGTATTAGATCAAATATCAACCCTTAAATTAAAAAACCTAATTATTTTTTTCTTGTCATTGAAGTCTTCATCGCCGTTAGACTCTTTCTCCGGTGAGATAGTCGTTGTCGTTCCTCCTTCTCTACATGATTGTTGTTCCCCGTCGTTGAGGCGGCACCTACCAGTGACGACTTGGAAGACCGCCCAAGTCCGAAACAAAATAAAAATGAAGAAAGTTTACCTTATTGGATTGGTTGCGCGAACGGCGGAGAACGACGGTCGAGTTCAAACCTAATTCTGTTACACTTTTAGGTGCCTACCGTTAAAAAAACTCGTTAAGTGACACGTGTCACATTAAGTTTTTTTTTTTAAATTATTTTATTTTAAAAAAAATCAAGACATGACATGTGCCACTTAACAGTTTTTGTAAATGATATGCACCTAAAAGTGTAAAAGAAAAAATTTTAGGCACCTATTTTTAGGAAAAAAATCTTTAGGCACCAAATATTAATTTTTAGTATAATTTAGGAATTTATTTTTATATTAAGCCTAAATAATTTATCTTTAAATTTTTAACTAATTTATAATTATATGTTGAGTCCTTTAGAATTTTAAATTTTTAAAAATTGAATTAATTGTGCTCAATGGTACTCATCGTTAGTGGTAATCAGCTGTGTTCGTCTAAAGCTGTAGAATTTTCCTTTAAATTTTTGTTATCAATCCTTTTATCTTTTGCAATTATATTAAAGTATACATATATAATTACTAAATTAAAAGTTAATATGATGGAGATAAAAAAAATAAAATGAGAATTAATGTTATTTAATATCTTGATTTTAATGTTTAACTTGATTCTTAATTTTTTTTAATTTCGTATTTAAGTTTGATTTTAATGTTCAATTTGATTCTTGAGGTTTCTGTTGTTTAAATTTTAAATTTGATTTAATTTTTTCTCAATTATGTAATTGAATTTATTTTTAATATTTAATTTTTTTGTTACAAAAAAAATTTAGGTCACGGATGACTCCCTTAATCTAAGGTCATGGCATACTTAAAACTCAGTTGGGATTTACATAAGAATTTACAGATTGCTCACTAAAAATGATGGTAGTATGATTTTTAATTTAAGGGTTGGTATTTGAGTCATAAACTCTATTATATTTTATTTACGTATTTTTGAGACTATTGTTGGGAGTTCCCCATATTTTAAATACTCATATTTTTTAAATGTATGTTATATCTTGGTTTTCATATTATGTGCGGATGTTAAATTGGTCAAATTATTAAAAATGGTTAGTCACTTAGGTGGTTCCTTGTGACACTCTAATCCATCGAGTTTCGAGTCGGATCGGATTAGGGTGTTCCATGTCACGAGTAGATCACTCGTTAAGTTTTTAACTGTGAGATATTTAAGCAAAACAAAAACTAAAAGTTAGACATTATTTTTTTAAACAAATTAAATATTAAAACGAACTAAAATTGATAGTTTAAATATTAAATATGTAATTTATCCTAAAAATGGTTTGCTTTTTGATCTTGTTGTTTCTAAGTAAATAATTATTAGGGTAAATAACAAGGTTCCTCACTCTACTTTACTCTCTCATATTTTCTCACTAAAGTTTTAATTTTTCTAATTTGTTCACTTAACTTTACAGATTGAATCATTTTGTTCACTCTATCGTTAACTTTTTAGCGGCGTTATGACGTGGCACATGGATAAAAATGATGTTGTTTGAAAAACTCAAATATACTATAAAATGACGTCGTTTTGGTGAGTAAAATATGAGATAGAGTAAAGTTTAATGATTGATGGTGTAATTTACCCTTTTTCCTAATAACTCATGGTGTAATTTACCCTTTTTCCTTCTCTTCTCCATTTTATCTTCGCCGACATCGTTCAGCCTCAAAAAAAGATGGGTCGGTTCGTCTCGACCCCCTGAGTCCGGATCTGGTGATTATTTAACAAAAAAAAAGTCCCAAAATCTATGAATTTAGACTGAAATGTTTCGATTTTCTCACTTTCAATCTAAAATTCTTGGATTTCGGAGCAACTTCCGATAAAATGAAGGTCGAATTCGAACTCACGGCGTCCAATTTTGGAACAAAACAACCACCATCTAATACAGTCAACAGTGGATGATGGTGATATTCGTCCGCCTTCTGTTTTTATTTTATTTTGTTAATTGTTTTATATTAAAAAAATAAAAAAAAATATATCACATTAGAGAGGATGGGAGAGTGAGCAAAATGATTTAATTTGTAAAGTTCAATGAGTAAATTTAAAAAAATTGTTAAATAAAATATGAGAGATAATAAAGTAAAGGGAAGGACGGTGAAATTTACCCTAATAAGTAAATTATATAAATTTATAAAGGAAAAAAATCATAAAATTGTAATAAGATGAGAATGAGACGTGATCTGACAGTTGAAAATGACATCCCATTAACGGACAGTATCGCGCGCGATGCGCGGGTGCTCCTCCCTGCATCTTCTCTTGTTTTAATGGGCCCTATTAAATACTTTTAATAAATTTATCACTTACCATCTATTTTCATTATTAATTGTTGAAGATTTAATTATAATATTAATATATATTTTTTTCACATCACCTTTTCTTTTTTTAATCAGTAATTATTATATTACTTTTTAATATTTTTATCACGATAATCAAGTAGTGACATGTGTCACATTCCTCGACTCTATACAAATTCACAATTGTTTAGATTTTCTATACTCGTAGGATTTTTTCACCGTAGGACTTTTGATCGATTAATTCAGATGAAATATCATTGTTCATTTAAAAAAAAACTCAAAATCACATTAATCATATTTTTTTTACAAAAAAAAAAGAACTTGTACATATACGTCCTCATCATTTCATGTAACATGTCAAACAGGTCCAGTTCCAGGTCCTCCTAGTGTTAGAACCACATCTCCTAGATCACTTCTTAGCTTTGGATGTTTTGCTGCTAATGAAGCACCATTAGTCGCCAAATGCCGAGTGCTGTGACCGGATTCCCGCATAATGTGCATAGTCGGCGACTGAGAGGGCTTCAAGGGTTCTAGATTGGTCGGGTTTAGGACCGGCTGAGCGGCACCGGCCTGGCGTGTCGATGATGGGCTTGGAGCAAGCATTGGCCCTCTCGAGACGACACCCGGTGAACCCTAATAAAGTGATGGTAAGGAATAGTTGAATGAACAATATAGGACTCGTATGATAAAGGATGCAAGGCTTACAGGCGCAAATAAGACTCCTCTAAATATCTTCCCATTCACAGTTGCTGTCACCAGGAGTCCCGAGTCGAATGCTCCGTCGACTTTACCATGAACTTCGGCACCTAGCTGAGGTGACAAAAGCCGAGAAAGCAGCATGAAACAAGTGGAAACATGAAGAAACATAAGCAGAAATCTGATATCCCATCCAAATGCAAAGTTCGTGGTCTTTACCAGGTTGTGAGTAGGCCCTGCTTCGAAGTATCTCGGTTCCACGGCGGAGCATTGCACTCCGCTTCTTTGTCTGCCTGTATGAACGGCATGTAGATATTGTTCGGGTTTTTGAAGGTTTCGAAACTCTCTCGTATACTGCAAACCTTCTCGAGTTTTGTGGATCACGTATCCGGTCTGCTTGTGGTTATTTGAATCATTGTTAATCTGACAACCGCTTGGAATAGGATGCAACTGCTTGAGCAAGTTAAGGCCGTGAGATGCGGTGGAATCCGGGGGCTTTAGTGCCGCGCCTTGTTCTTGATCAGAATGTGAAGGCGACGAATGCTGCGAGAGCGAAAGGGAATGCTCTTCTTGCTCGGATTCAACCTCACATGCCTTCGTATTGGCAGTTCTTCTCCTCTTGGGGTTTGAAGTATCTGAAGAGCAACGAAAAGTTGGAATGATCACATTCGAATCATGAAGCAAGGAAGTTTGAATCCGGACCAACCTGAACCGAGCCGAGAAGAATGCTTTGCTTCTTGTTCTCGTTCATTATCTCCGTGTTTCGATACTTCAAGATCAGCAAAGCAGATGCCTTTCTGCTTCAAAATAAAGTAATCACGGCTTATTCGATACGGCCATAACAAATAACGATTAAATGGACTCGAAAGTTTGCGGTTAATCTTTAGCATATCCGTTACCGAGTTACTAGGTGCTACTCCTAAGAATCTTCTCTTTTCTTGGTTCCAGTGGCCTCCAAAAGCTTTACACATCGAAATGTTATATCGACCATTCGGATGCTGTGTCCCGAGCTGTAACACCAGCAACTCGTTGATCGGACGCTCATCCTCTCCACATCTGTGTACATCAAACAAAGTCCACAGAAATCACAAATCGAACCGGGGAGAATAAGCTATTATGGAGTCGGAGGAACTTACCCTCCATAGATGGCAACATCAGATTCTGCAAGAACAGCAGTGTGCGAAAACCGGCCTTGAGGCTGCTGGCCACATATATATAGCTGAGTCCAACGACAAGCATTCAGGTCTAGGACCCAAACATCGTTGTAATAGTGTTTATCTCCGACCCCTCCGATGACGAAAACCTTCAAAATCGTAAATTTATTAACATTAAATTTAAGCAAAAAGGCAAAACTGTGTATTAAAATCGAATTAGTCTCGTCAGCAATGCTAACTTGGAGCAATTTTGCTACCTTTGCTCCGATAGTCACCGCAGCATGACCTGCTCTAACACCCGGTAATGAACCTTGAACGGCCAACTGTAGGGATTGTTAAAAGAAAGAAAAATCATGGGAATTATGATTAATAAGTTTAAGTTTGTTCTTCAATAATGGATTTAGTGAGACAATACCCTTGACCAAGTTGAAGTATCCATGTCGAAGATGTCGACATCTCCATGATATCGATCACCGCAGTCCCCACCATACACAACGAGCTTGTTTCCTATCGCAACGGCGCTGTGACTGTCTCTAGGGACAGGGATATGGCCTCTCACCTGAGGTGAGGTCCACCTCATAGTCCTAAGATCCAAAACATGCAAATCACACAAGTAATTCGCTCCGCCTTCACCACTCCCTCCGAAAATCACCACCTTGTCATCACCGATAAGCGTGGCGGTATGACTCTCACGAGGTGAAGGCGCGGCGCCATTGCATTCAGCTCGTGTCCACTCTTTCGACATCAAGTCCAACACGTGAAGATCATTAACCTTCCTGGAACCATTAGTACCCCCAAACACCATCATCTTTGTCCCTACAAGAGCAACACTATGGCTATCTCTAGGACCAGGCCCCTGCCCTGTGGTTTCCATAGTTTTCCATACCATCGTGTTCAGATTTAGCATGAGAACATCACTCAAATGTAGACCTCCGCAACAACCCTGCGACGCGAAACAAGCAAGCCTATCCATCAATATTCGATAACCCAGATCGAAATCGAGCTATGGCTTCTCTCCTACTATTGAATCAAGCATCTAAACATACAAAATTCAACAGTTCTGTGACATAATATACAGCAAAACAACATTAAACAGCAGAATACCAGTTTGTACTGTCATAAATCATTGAACAAAACGAACCCAAAACCTTGCTATACAATAAATTATTCACATCAAACCTTTCCCAGGAAGAAACAAGACCTAGTTACAATCATGGTTATACTAATTACAGAAATTGAAACCAGGAAAAACTTCAGATAACATTCCAACAAGAAGCACAAGCAGTAAAGAACAAAAAACTAAGTGATATTACGAATAGATACTAGGTCGTAATCACTCCAAATTATTCAAAGAATTTGGCATACCCCAAAAACATAAACAACCCCATTAGAGTAGCAAGCAGAGTGCCCCCATCTCTCAGAAGGGTTAAAGCCTGAGACTTTAGGGTAGAGCCACATTGCTTTCCTTTTGGCCATTTGAGCTCCAAAATACTCCATTGTTGTCTGCATGGTGTTCGACTCTCTGTCTTTGGTTTACAAATGATGAAGAAACCGAGGAAAGCAGAGAGAAATAGAGGGCCAAAGAGAGGGACATGAACAAGCCAAGGGATAAATCAACAATCGGTGTCAAATGACATGAAAAGATGGGCGCTTTCAAGTCTATTGTCACTGTGGTAACCAACAGCCACGGTGAAAAGAAGGCATCTTTTTTTCTCACGCTCGGTGTCCTACACACAAACCAATTACGTTACGTTGATGAATATGTCTAAAGACTAAAAACCAAGTGATGCAAAATCAACAGATTGTGACCGAAAATGGTCTGTGGGGGCTATTTGGGGTTGTGGAGGATAATGGAGAAAAACCCAAATTTTGCTAATTTCACAGTGATCAATGATCAAACGTAGAGATGTAAATGAATCCAGTCAAACTTGAATATTGGATGAGTTTAATTTAATTTAAAAAAAAGCTTAAAACTGAACTCTGCTTGATCTAAACATTCGTGAAATTAATATTATCAAGCTCGATTTAAATTTAAAAAGTTGAAGCTTAACTTGAAAGCATGATCTTAAAATTTTTAAATTCAACTCGAAATTAAAAAATTTGAAACTTAAATCAAACTCAATAAACTTAAACTCAAAACATTAATAAACTTAACTAAATTAAAATTAAATTTTAATCAAATTAAACACGAATAATTTACAATTTAACCCATTTCATTCATTTACTACCCTAATTAAGGATACTAAAAACAACTTTTTTTTAGCTTTCTTGTTGACGTGATGTTGGGATTGGTGTGAATGGAGAAGATGAATTTCTCTTCCTCACAAACCCAAGTTTCAAGGTGGGAAATTGATGTTTGACATAGAAATGTCTCATCAAAAAGGTCTTTTGGGACCAAAGTATGGGACTTTGTGCTGTGGAATTCCTTTATTTAGTTTCGGAACCGGCGTGCTCTCTCAACCGTATATGTCAGTGTAAAGTATACGAAACACAATACAGACCCACATGTCTTATAGCATTGATTCTTCAAATATATAGGGTAAATTACATACTTAATACGTAAATTATAAGTTTTGGTCTATATTAGAATCTAAGTTTTTATTTTTTTAAATCACACCTAACGTTTTAATTTTTATTTCATTTTAATACTATATCATTGAAAATTTAACGGATGGGTTTGTCAGTCGATTAAACCCAAACTTTTCAGAACATCTTTTTTGACCCTGAACATGATTTTAGCCTCTGTTTCACTAAAAAAATGTCTCAAACTGTCCAAATCGACGATGGACTCTTCGACTTCTTCATCCTCCGATCTCCTTCATCATCAGTCCGATAGGCCTCAAACTAGACTAAGTTATTTGAGTCGTCATTCTCTTCTAATCCACCCTTTAGATTGGTCGTTTGTCCGCCGAAATTATACTCTGTCAGTCCATCCGTTAAATTTTTAGCATCAAAACACTAAAATGAAATAAAAACTAAATATTATATATGATTTTAAAAAATATATATTTAAATATTTAAATATACCAAAACTTAAAAATTTAAATATTAAATTAAATTATCTATATATATATTATATTGTATGATTAACATCATTGCCATCAACTTCATATGATTCATTACCATCAGTCAACCTCCTTTACCCAAAGCCTCTGCAATTTGCAGACATGGCAACAGTGAGTGAGTAAGTGAAGATACAGTGATAGAGAAAAGGAATATAAAGATAAAATATAGGAGTTGATGGAAGAGTACACGCGACAAATGCGGGAGAGTTTTGAGGTAATGGCGGTCGAACCAACTCCTACGTGGCAACTATGCAACTCAAGTTTCCTGCCTTTGTTTTGATTCACATTATCCTCTTTGTAACTTGTGAACGGGATGACAAGGTCTAATTCTAATCTTAGTCCCTGTTGAAGTTTAAGTTTTAGACCAGGTGTGGTATTTTTTTAGGTTTAATTATAAAATAAGTGTTCAGACTATACCGATTTTCTCAAATAAGTACCCAAACTATACGTTTTTCCTAAATAGGTTCTCGAAATTCTTTTTAAATCATTCAAGTGCCTAGCATTACAAACATTATCATTTTAAAAGTCAGAGACTTAATAGTCGTAATTAAATTATGTTAAGTGAAATGTGTCACAATTTGATAATTTTTTTTTTAAAAATTTAATTTTATTATATTTATAAAAAAGCTATTTCTCTTAAATTACAAAAAAGCTTTAAAACCCTAAAATCCCTAACCCGAACCTCCATTGTTGGCTACGTCGACACCACCCTTGCCTTCTTCTTGCTCGGTCATCGTATACCATCGTATATGTTGTTGGATCACTTGGGTGTCACGAAATTGGAGGTTTGAGTTAGACAAAGACGCAATTTTATCATTTTCTTTGTCGGGGATGTAAAGTTTATGGTCGGTTTGACTCATCATACGATGTAGGTCGGCGTCGGTTCATAAATTGAAATTGGAGTTTTTCAAAGTTTTGATGTTTTTTTTTTATTTTTGGAGTTTTTTAATAAATAATTTTATTTTTAAAAAATTTAAATAAAATTTTTAAAATTATCAGAACGTGATGCATATCACTTAACGATGAATTTTAACGACAGTTACGGTCTGAGCACCTAAAGTGATATTAACGATGAATTTTAACGGTGCTTACGTTTGTAATGTTAACCTGAATGATTCAACAAATGTTTGGACACCTATTTGTGAAAAAAAATGATAAAGTTTAGCTATTTATTTTATAATTAAGTCTTTTTTTTTATAAAACCTGAGTATAGAGTGAACACCATACATCAAAATACATCATTAATATGACATTGAAATATTCTATTAAATAAATTATATTTTTAAAAAAATATAAAAAATCAATGACCTTTTCACAATTAATCCATTATAGATGTTTAATTTTAATCATAATATAATTATAATTAAATCCTATTCAGAAAAAAAAATATATAAGGGCAATTTACTTAGTATAATTGTATTAGAAATAAAATTATAAGTATAATAATATTATAATTAAAACTAAATTTCTACAAGAGATTAATCACGAGGGAAATCCATGAAGATCACATATTTAAAAAAAAAAAAAAGATAATTATACTATTATCTCGAATCGAGCCTAATTGAAAAATTTTAATCCTAAATGAGTTTGACCTTATAAAGTCGAATTGACACACTTTGAATTCAAGTAGAATGATCATCCTTAAATAGAAAAGGGTCTTGTTTGTTGTTTTTCTTTGTATAATTATCGATAGTTAATCTATTAGTTAAATTTAAATTAATATAAATTTTTAATTTAATTTAGATATAATATCAAAAAATACCTTTAGCATTTGATTAAATAATCATTCTGATACTTATTCATTTTTGAAACAATTTGATTTTCAATGTTTTATTTTAAGACAAAAAGGCTTATAGCATTTGACTAAATAGTCATTTTAGAGCTTATTCTTTTTTAGAGAGCATGTTACCCTCAAATGTTTCATTTTAGGACGTTTACTAACAATTTTCATACACGAGTTTTTTTTTGGCGTCAAAATAGAATGTTATGGCAAAAAAAAAACAGTTAGGAGTTAAAGTGACTATTTAGTCAAATATTAGGGGTATTTTCTCCATTATACACTTAATTTGTTGTATGTGGTTAGGGATGGTAATGAATCGAGTCAGGATTTTGGCTCGTCTAAACCCAACTAAAAAATTAAACTCTACTCCTAACCCGAAAAAAATTGGATTGTCCTACCTGATTTGATTTTTAGGTTGATATCTGACTTGATTTTTAGATTAAAATCTACACTCAATGTGACAATATATAGTTTATTTTTATTAGATAAAATAAGGATATAATTAAAAAATAAAATAAAAAAATTTAGAATTATTTTTAAACATATAATGAATAATTATAATACTATATTTGATTATACCAGATCAAATATTTTCACTATAATACCCCAAAATTTCAGCAAGTGGCCAAAAGATAAACTTTAAAAATTAGGTGACCAAAGTATAAATTTAGAAAAATTTAGGAACTTAAAGTGTAATTTTTAAAAGCTATATTTTGATCATGAATAGTTATCCTTAAGGGTGCGTTTAGTTCACGGAATGTAATATTACTAGTGGGTATAAAAGATTACACAGGAATAGGATTACTGGGAATGTTGTATTTTGTGTTTGGTTGGTTTAGCAGGAATGTAGGATTACCATGTTTGGTTAAAGGAATAAAAGATTATTGGAATGTATATTTGACCAAATTTTCCTTATTATATATTTGTATAATATTACAAATTGTAAAATATTTATATATTTTCTTTAAAAAAATAAATTCATAATATTTATATAATTTTTTTTACAAAATTAAAAATATAAAAAAGGTTCAATGAAATGGTAAATTTTTTTTAACCCCTGAACTTCATATAAAATTTTAATTATAGACTTTTTTTGTAAATCTAAAATAATTTAAGGATAAATTTGTAATTTAACATTCGTAGAATTTTTATTATTCAATGACAGAAGAATGATATTTTTGAAAAAAAATAAAAATTTAAGGGTATTTTAGTCTAAAACGCCGGTAATGTTACAATACCTAAGGGAATGGAGGTAATGACATTCCCGGTAATATACAAAAAAAAATCTACAATTGGTAATAAAACATTACCGGGAATGAGATTCCGGCCAACCAAAACATGGGAATCTCACAATCCTTAATCCAAACACCCCCTAAAAGCTCATATTTTTTATCTGGGATTTGTATAAAATTCTATTAAAAGATAAAGTTTGGTATAATATTCTAATAACCGAATCGAATCAGAAACTTACAAAATTTTGAAGAAATGTAGTTTTGGGTTAGAAAAATTATACTGATAATTTTAATCAGTGGAATTTGATGTGGAGTAGTGGAATAGTGTAATTTAATGACTAAATTGAGTTTTTGGGAAATTAGAAGGACAAAAAGGAAAATCGATAAATGAGATTTTTATATTATTTAATATTATTAAATTGGAGATAAAAGGATGGTATGGAAGTAAATATTGAGATTCATTAAAGACAATTTTGTCTTTTGGGCCAAAATAAATTTTTAATTGGTTTTTAAGGCCGAAATTAGAAGATATTTTGAATGAAATCTCTCTTCTTCCCCAGCAAGGTGAGAAATTTTTCTTTTCCATTTTTGATCCATTTTAGTCAAATTTAAGACTAAGTTGTAAAATAAAATAAAAATCATCTACACTAAATTCTCTACAAA